GACTGGGACCAGGCCCAGGTGCCCATCAGGTCGGTACCCCGACTCAGGGCCTGCCGGGTGGTGACCTGCCTGCGCGGCCAGCTCAGAGACTGGGCCCAGGCCCAGGTGCCCATCAGGTCCGTATCGCAACTCAGGGTCTACCTGGGCGGCCAGCTCAGTGACCCCCCTCCTGATCCAGGCCTGCCCGCTCCCTTCACTTAGGGCCATGGCCCACTCAAAGGGGGGCTCTCACTCCACATTTCCACCTTTTTCTTGTCAAGCCTTCCCCCCCCCAGACAAAACAAGGGCTCCTTTCTATTCGAGGGAGCAGCACGTGTTGGGAAACAGGCCCCAGCGTCCCTTATTCTTCTCAGCTGAGGCCGGGTCCTCACAGTCGACCCGGAAAAAGAAACATCAAGTATATTCGGAGATTACATCTGCGTTTGAGAGCAAAGCTAGAAGTGGTCTGTTATATCAAGTTTCGACTTTAAATAGCCTCAGCAGTGCGCCTGTGAGACTCAAGTTTTTAGTACCCATCAGACTCCAAATTTGAGCCTATTTCACATTTTCTCTTCTTGTCTGTTATATCACCGCAATCACCACGTACAAAATGTTTCCAGTTTCAAGTTTCAACTTTAGAAATATTTTTTTCCCCTGTTTTCTACTTTTCGACTTTACAATAGATTTTTCAACTTTCACTTTTTTTCTCGTGTTTCACTTGTTTTATTTTTTTCCTTTCTCCTTTCTCTTTTCGCTGAAGTTTTGGGGCAAGAAAGAACCACATTGCCAAATTGGGCAACTGTAAATCATCTAGACCACAGTCTGTACTTGGCACTGGAATTGTGAAAATCCACTGCTCTGTTACAGTGTCTCTGATGCAATCTAGAAGATAGACACCACGACAAAAAGCGCTGGCCCTGAAATTCCGCATCGTATTCTTACCATGGTCCTCCTGCCCATTAGCTAGCTTTCCCGGGGCGGCCGGGCGCCCCGGGCACCCCGCCCGGGTAGGGACCACGCCCGGGGTACCCCGGGCATTCAAAAAAACCACCAAGTTTTTTTCTTCTTTCTTTTTCAACCACCAGACCTTGCTGCGCTTTGGGAGTAATGCCCAAATCCGGCCTCTTTTTTTAAGTTATTTTATTTTCACGTATGTTGATTTCTGTGGGTCGGGGGGGGGAGGGGGTGCAGGAGGGGGCGAATTTGAATCCTGTATCAGCGCGCACCGTCACGCTATGCAGATCGACGACCAGAATCCCCCAGAAATTTAAAAACCTACAAAACAAGGCCTACCGGACCCCCAAAAAAAATGTGCCGACCGCTGAAGGCAAAGTTGGCACGTTTGGAATAGGGCTGCGGCAATATTTTTTTTTTTTTTGGCTTTTTCTGCCTTGGTGCGAGAGGTGCCCGGGTGCCTGCTCGGGGGGGTCGCCTGGCCAGGCGCCCCGGGCGCCATTCCGGGCATGGAGGGGTACCCCGTGCGCCCGGGGTGGAAAGCTAGCCCATTAGCAAATTGAACAGGCGCTTCCCCTGAACTTCGAATATTATTAATTTATTACCCTCAGGCTGGTCCTCCTGCCCATTAACAAATTCAACAAGACTACATACGCACGCTATATATGCGCACGCATAGATGACCCACATCTTGATTCCAATTTTGGAAAAGTGGGGTGTGTGGGGCGGGGGAGGAGGGGGAAGGGGGGGAAGGGGTGGAGAAGTGGGAAAGGGAGGAACACAAGGGGTAGTTGACAGGTAGAGTGAAGGACCAGGGTATCGCACGACGAACCTTGTGGCAGAAAGCCCGCACACAATAGTTGTTGATGCGCTCCAAGAAGAAAGCTTGAAGTCGGCCGTTCTTCTCCCGCCTTACGTACTCTAGATAATTTGTGTGGATGATTCCGACGACCTTCTGAAACTTGTTGCTCCAGCGCTGCCCATGATGATACCAAGTGAGGTGCTCCGGCTCCTCAAGGACTGCCACATCAGCATCGTGATCAGGAATGAACTGAGCCACGTCACCAACCGCAAAAATGCTCCTCTTCTCTGTGGAATACTGCATGGTCCAAAAATGGAAAATGCCGAGACTCGTTTACTTATAATAGACAAACAGCATGGAAGGCACCATAAGAACATCAGTTGTCGCATTGTGAATAATCAGACGCAAAAGAAAGGTAAACAATTTTTTTGAGCATCAGACTAAACTCTCAAGAAGAAGGCACAAGCTGTAGGGCTACGAAACTTTTGAAAGAACAAAAAGCTATTAACTACCTTCTCCCCCGAATAGAAGGCATATGCATGTACTATATGGACATTATAGCTGTATTTGGGGTAACTTTCAGTCTTGATACAGCAATAATGACCGTATGTTTTGTTCATGTGAAGACGGTAGAATTTGCATGCACGATGCATATTGACACGTGTCATAGCAGTGCGAAAAAAAAAAAAAAAAAGGTGGCTGTAAGATCGTCAACCCGGCAAATGCCATAGCATTTTCTTTTTTTAATGCCATAGCATCGTAGATGTAGAAAACCAACAAAGTTATAGGACAGGAAAAAAAAAAAAGTTATAGAAAAGGGAAAAAAAAAGGGTATAAGATTCTGTGCAATACTAACGCGGAAAAAAAAGAAAAAAAAAGTAGCAGGTCTCACAGTCACAAAAAAAAAAGAAAAAGCAAACAAAAAATGGCACCTCCATGAAGTCAATAAAGGCTCAAAGGCTTGAACTGCCGGTACACGTGGGTATGGAGAGGCTGCAGTGCGCACCAAGCTTCTCCGAGGGCCAGCGGCGCACTTTTTTCCTTTCTTGGCTGCTGGCGCCACCAGCCATTGTGGTCCCGTAACCCCGAGCCGTGAAAATTTCGGCGTTAGCAACTCGCAATTTTCTACAAGGTTGGCGCCGTGTACCAGTACACACAAGTGTGGATTGGAGGCGCTGCACTGCACGCCAAGCTGTTCCGAACCGCCAGCGGCGCACTTTTTTCTTTCTTGACTGCTGGCGCCAGCAGCCATTGTGGTCCCGTAACCCCGAGCCGTGAAAATTTCAGAGTTAGCGACTCGCGATTTTCTACAAGGTTGGCGCTGTGTGCTGGAGCGGTGGTTTAAACTTTCAACCACCAGGACACCCGGGCGTGGAATGGAGGCGCTGCACTGCACGCCAAGCTGTTCCGAACCACCAGCGGCACACTTTTTTAGTTTTTCGGCTGGCCGCCACCAGTCATTGTGGTCCGGTAGCCCCGAGCCGCAAAAATTTTGGAGTCGGCAACTTGCGCTTTTCTGCAAGGCCGCGGCCGTGTACTGATGGTATGAGATAGAGAGAGGAGCATCACTGTACCTTTCCTGGATAGAAGGAGATCTTGAAGTCCGATTTGAATCCGACCCTCGCTTCAAGCCAGTTCCTGACATAGTCCTCTTGCTCCGCCGGCGAGTTAAACCGGACACCCTTCGGGTACACCAAATCTTGGTCATTCTTTGACAACCACGGAACCACAAGTGTGACGCGGTTCTTCCCCAACCTCGCGAGATAAGCAGCTCGCAGCAATGGGTTGATGGATGTACCTGTCATCCACGGCAGGCTGGCCGTTGTGACGATGGCCACATTTCGCCGACCGTCGGGAGCGCATTTCTTGTGATCGAAAGACTCTTCGTGCACTCCCGCCTTCCGCCGGGGGTAACCGGTGCTCTCTGTAATCTGCCCAGCCCGCCGATCCAGCTCTTCAGCAGCCATGGTGGTTGGTGAATCGACAACTGCACACGTTCCTACCCCATTCACAGAACTGCCATGACCGACTTCAAGCGAAGCTCTTGTGGTGTCTTTCTTCTTCCAGCTCCGTAGCATGTCACAGACCTTGTCCGAAACTTCTGCTGACCATAGGCCAGACCGCACCGCACAGAAGACAAAAGAGAGGAGCCATACAGTGTCAACCGAAAGAACTAACAGCTCGAGTTCACTTCACCCAGCAGGAGCAGAAATTGAGAAAGGGGATGGAAATTACAGGGAGGAGGAGACAAAGAGTGAGAACAAGAAGGCAAGGTGGGGGAGAAGGAAGAAGAGGAAGACGGCGAGGAAGAGGAGGAAGAGGAGGAAGAGGAGGAAGAGGAGGAAGAAGAGAAGGAGGACAAGGACAAGAGGAAGAGGAGGAAGAAGAGGAGGACGGCTATGACAAGGAGGAGGAAGAGGAGGAAGAGGAGGAGGAAGAGGAGGAAGAAGAGGAGGAGGAGGAGGAAGAGCAACGGGAAGCTAAGGAGGCAGAACAGGACAAGGAGGAGAAGGAGGAAGCTGAGGAGGAAGAACAAGATGATGATGAGGAGGAGGAGGAGGAGAGGAAGCAGAGGAGGAAGAACAAGAGTAGGAAGGGGAGGAAGGGGAGGAAGGGGAGGAAGGGGAGGAAGGGGAGGAAAGGGAGGAGAAAGAAGCGGAGGAGAAAGAATAGGACGAAGAGGGGGAGGAAGGAGAGGAGAAAGAAGCGGAGGAGAAAGAATAGGACGAAGAGGGGGAGAAAGAGGAGAGAAGAAAAGGAGGCGGCGAGGAGATGAGGAGCAGGCGGAGAAGCAGGAGGGAGCATGATTATCAGCAGTATGCACCTTTCTTAACTCCGAGCTGATTCAGAAACGGCTCTGACCGTAGGAGTATACCCTCCAACACCTCTGGCAGGTCGCGGGGAGGTACATTGGAGCCCAAATGCATCTGCAGCACAGAGAAGCATCCCAGAGGTTAATTGATCCTTTCTCACTGTGCAAAGGTAAGAAAGAAAGAATAAAATGCATTGAGCATCACAATTTTCTCTCCTGCTAAGGAATACAAAGTTACAAACAGCCATGTCATGCATATATAGCACTCCATCAAAACAAATAAGCTGTGCTTTTTTTTTTTTTTCAAGCATTGACTTAGAGAATCACATCAAACCATTTTCCCCACGACAGATCAAAACCTCCCTCATCATTCACGCAATCACATCAATCATCTTCTCTATTACGTCTAGTCTGGTAAATACAGATGCTACGGTCTTCATTAGACCACCCCTATTTTGCCGAACCTGGAATTTGCTGAACGTTCCCTTCAAAATCGATAAGCATCGACTTAGAGACTCAGAGAGTCACATCAATAATTTTCCCGCCGACAGATCGAAACCTCCCTTATTGTTCAACACACATCAATCATTTCAACGCACATCAATCACTTTCCCGACTACGACATCTGGTACATAAAGATGCCACGGCTTCACTCGACCACCGCTACTTTGCCAAACCTGGAATTTGCCCAATTTGGAATTTTGCCGAATCTGGAATCTTTCACACGTGTCAACTAAAGACCCACATGGCTGTATGCCATTCACCATCAGACTTATGGTCGGGACCCATCAGTAATAGCCACCACAAAAAAAAAAAAAAAAAAAAAAAATGTAGATCAGCCGCTTGTATACATCTGGGACTCCCGGGGGCTAAGTGGGACATCCAGGGGGGTTTGCAAATCAGTCGGCTAGGGAGTCGGCAAAAACGAGGCCGAAACGTCAAACGCTGGGCCTGCCGTTGATAAATTGGATCAGCAGTCGCGTTTTCGCTTCGTGCTTCCAGAATTCGAGGTGTCAGTACCGCGGCCCAGGTGCCGATGTACTGGTGCTTTAAGTTCCCGTTTAACTCCACTGTGTGACAGCCAGTTGACGAAGCAATCTGCTGGATTGATTGATTGATTGATTGATTGATTGATTGATCGTTTGATTGGTCGATGCATTGATTGATTGATTGATTGATCGTTTGACTGGTCGATGCATTGATTGATTGATTAGATTTGTTGACGGACCTAGTATTTAAAGATTGCCTGGTTGATAAAAAAGCCAGGAAACCTCTTTTTCTTTTTTTTCAAGTCCAGGAAAATTATATAGAGCATACCCCACCGGGGACACCACCTTCTCACCCGCATGGACAACAAGACTTCAGAGAGCTACATGAGACATTTTTCCCAGGGTCAATTCATTTGCTGATCTCTGTGTTTCTTGCATTATCATTTACCTCACAGGCTCCCACAGAGGAATCTGAGAGGGAACTCGGTGAAAGGCAAGCTGACAGTCAATCCTCCATTACAGCGGAGCAATCGATGCTGTTCAGCGACCCTTCTGCAGACGGAAGGGGGCGTGTGTGTGTCCAATGATGTAATTCTGGATCTATGACTTGCCGGGGGAATAGGAACCGGACTGAAGCTGCCCAGAATGGATATGGAGCCAGGACCATAAGGACCTGTTTTATCTGAAAAAACAAAAAAAAAGCAATGGGAAATATTCTTGCACCTGGACGAATCAGCGAAGGGGGGACACAATGGGATTGGGAGAGATCCTGCAGATGGATGAATGGCTGGCCTCGACCACCTACATCCAACTGGGAAACGGTGTTTGGAGGCACACACAAAAAAAAACAAAATAACAGAAAATATATATAGCTTTTTTTCGATTAATTTTTCTATTTGTACTTATGCGCAGTTTGAGCCCTCGCAAGGCCCTTCTCTGGCATACACACGTTCAGGGCTCAGGCCCCCATCAAGCCTCGTGCCCACCCTAAGTGAAGGCGGGCCTGCATATTCGCATGAGGCCTACTTTTGCCATTTTCGTATGTGGGGTACCGGACAGTTGCAGCACGCCAGTTGGTTACAGAGCAATGTGAGCCTTCTCTGGCTTCTTTCCAGAAGCAGCAGCTGCGTTGTACAGTTGAGCCCAGGGCTCATGAGGTTGATGAGCCCCTGGGCACAAGCATCCAGAGGCCGACAAGTCAAGCAGCGGCCGCAGACCAATGAGTGCAGCTCCTTCGTCACACACTTGCCACTAGCCAATGGGATTGCAGCAAACACTTGGAGCCTCGTGGGCTGCCTGAACGTGCCTCAGTGCATGGTGCCCAGGCCAGTATCTGAAACCGGGCCTGGGCGCAGATACTGGGGCCAGACTGGAAGCTACTGGAAACGCCCAGCCAGGCCCAGGGGGCACGACAAGCAGGGCTCACTTTCCATAAAGGAAAGTGAACACTCCGGCCAGATCCATTCTGGCCTGCGTGGGCAATGCGGCCACGCTGCTGCATTGACGCACGAGCAGCTGCGCTAGCGCTGCTGGCCAGAGCGCCCACCGGCACTGGAGGTGAGAGAGGGGCGCTGCGGTGGCAGCGGCCGCACGGCGACCATAGCTGGGCTGCTGCGGGCATGCATGGTGACGGCGAGGTTGGTCTTCCGGTAGGAGGCGCATGCTGTGGGGAGACAGGGATGATGAGGGGAGGAGTGAGACATGTACCTGGTGTATGCTGGCAGTCTGCATTGGCGATGACGTCACGTACATTGGTCTTCAGCTTCAAAGTGATTCCTGTTGCATGAACGTAGAATAGGCTAGATAGGCTGAGTAGAGTAGGCTACCGTCTTCACCCGAACGCCCGGTCATTATAGCTGTATTTGGCACAACTTTCAGCCCAGATACGGCGATAATTACCGGGCGCTCTATTCGGGTGAAGACGGTAGACACTGAGCGCCGTTCCGAATAAGCGACATTGGATACTACGTTGGCGTGGCCAGAGAGCGTCGACATTGACATTGGGTTCATTGTTGTATTGCTCTTATTTGGATGACATCTTTTGGGTGCATTGTGCTCTCTGCTTGGTACATGACTATCTGGACTACAGCGTCATTTTGCACTTTGGATTTCTGTCTGTCGCTCTCGCTCATATTCCTTACACTTATTTCCCAATTCAGTTTATTTATTTTGTACTATTGTAGTTATTCCCGTTTTCAAGAACCCCTATATATTGACAGAAGCACAAGCAAATGCGTAGAGATTTGCAGAAGGTACCCCCCCCCAAAAAAAAAGGGTATACAGATGGACCCACCGTAAGATTAAAATGCCTTCATCGATCATTTTTTTCCTCTGTTTTTTTTCCCCCCCCAATATAGAGGAAACGAATCCAGTCTATTATGGGGGATGCAGCACATGCTGGGAAACGAGCCCAGCATTCATCCACCATCTACAGAAAAATCCATCACTCGGGTGACACGTGTCATGGAATCAATGGCCCAAAAGATTCATCACTTCCTTCGGGACATCCGTTAAAATTGGAATGATACAGAGAGAGAAGATTAGCGTTGCCCCTGTGCAAGGACGACTCGCATTAATCAAGAAATGGTCCAACTTAAATAATAATAATAACAATAATAATCATATATAATATAATAATAACAATCTAATAATAATAATAAATCGATTAGGTGACACGTGTCATGAAATCACTGGCCGGAAAAGATCTTTCCCAGGCTTCTGTCCCAACCTACCCGCTCAGCCGCAGGATCTCGTAGTAGCTTGCCCGCTCCGATCGTTGAACCTGGTCCATCCGCTTGTGAGACAGGCAACTTCTGCAGCAGCAAACACAATCCAGAGTTCTCAGTGTCAGATGGCATGTCAGAGACCTTATACATAAATAATAAATATATAATTAAACATTGATTAATAATACATTATAAATATTAAATCAGATATAATTATATAAATATACAAAGTTTACAAACCACATAAATACATATATCGGCATACAAATAAAATTTAATAAATATGTAAAAACAAAAAGCACAAATTCAACCGTCTTACAGAAAAAAAGGCAGACTGACACATACCTGGCAGACAGACTCAGACAGACCAACGATTCCCTCCTTCCTCCTCCTCCTTCTCCTCCTCCTCCTCCTTCCTTCTCTCGTTCTTATCTTCTTTTTTCTGCTTGTTTGTTTCGTTAATTCTTACTTGCTCTTCTTCGCCATTTCTGTCTTTCTCTCTTCCTCCTTTCCGGTCCCTGCTGCCTGCTTCCTGCTTGTTCCTCCTTCCCACCCTCCTTCCCACCCTCCTTCCCACTCTCATTCCCACCTACTCCTTTTCGCCCTCCTTCCTCCTCCTCCTCCTCCTCCTCCTTCCTCCCTCCTTCCTGCTCCTTCCTTCTCCTGCTGCCTACATGCTGCTTGTTCCTCCTCCCACCTACTCCTCTTCGCCCTCCTCCTTCCTCCTCCTCCTCCTCCTCCCCCTCCTTCCTCCTCCTCCTCCCTTTCCTGCTCCTTCCTCCGTCTTCTTTCCTCCGACGAGATAGTCACCTATCATACGGCTCGCCAACTCAGCTTACTTCAGATTAGGACATCCATATTTCCTGCATATAGGCCCCTTCTCCGGTCTCCTTCATTCATGTCAATTAGCCCGCCACGCCCGTTCAGACCACGTCTTCGTGTCCTTCGTATTCTGCTTTCCATCCAAGGACAAGGCCACCAGCCCACCAGTCACTTTGTCAGACCATATACAATGTATCCAAGGCCACGACGTGGGCGATGTTGAGTATAGCCCGCGCTTATAAGACCACCTACATCCCTTCGCCAGTCTTGTCTTCTGTCCTCCATCTTCCCTACAACCGTCCTTTCTCCGTCTTCCTTCCTCTCTCTCCTTCCGGCTTTTCCTCTTCCTCCTCTTCCCTCCTCCTCCTCATCGCTCCTTCGTCTTCTTCATCCTTCCACCTTGCTTCTTCCTTCCTCCTCTTCGCCATCGTACTCCTGCTGCTTATCCTTCCACCTCCCCCTTCCTCCTCCTCCCTTCTTCCTCCTCCTCTTCTCCCCCCCCCACCCTTCCTCACCTACTCACTTTCCCCCTCCACCTTCCTCCTCCTCTTACTCCTCCCTCCCTCCGTCCCTCCCTCCCCCTTCCTCCTCCCTTCCTCCTCCCTTCCTTCCTCCTCCCTCCTCCTCCCTCCTCTTCCTCCTCTTCCTATCTCCGTTCCGGACCAAAAGAAAATTTACTTACAAATTATAAGTCTTCGGGGGCGCTCAGCCTGCAGCACTCTCCTCTCGAATATCGGAGGACCAAAAAAAAAAAAAAAATGCATCTGTACCCCACTTGAAGATGGGAATACCCGCTGTATATATACCCAGTCCCAGTGCGAACTTGCATCTATCCCCGGACCCCCTTCAACTTTGCATGGTACCCCCAAATTTCCTCTGTGCAAAATTGTAGGTGTATCCAGTCCCGCAGGCCAGCAGGCCCGCAGGCCCGCAGGCCCATGAGCATAATTTCAGGACCCTGAAATTAATCTTACTTAACGATGAGAGTTCCGATGTTGTACTATCTTACTTTTTTTTTTTTTTTTGTGGTTTGATAAGTGTGATCCTCATACTCGTAAATCTAAATCTATACCATGAGCATAATTTCAGGACTCCTGAAATTATGCTCTTGCCCAGAGACCGGGCTGGCAAAATTGCGGGCGTACCCTCAGCCAGGGACGGGCCTTGGATGGCTGACCATCAAAGGGCCTCGCCTCGCCACACACCAGTCGAAACGGAAAAGAGAAGGAATGCATCTGCCTCAGGAAATGGTAAGATGCATCCATTTTGCTATTCGTAGTAAGAGATGCATCTTGCCCTTCTCCACGGGAAGATGCATTCGCTCGTTTTTCGTTTCGACAGTGATGTGGCGAGGCCCAAATTATGCTCATGCCCACCAAGAGGACCGTTGTGGCCCAACGGCTTCTGGTTATCCGCATAATTTCACCCATCGGGTAGAAGGGTCTATGAATAATTTGGCCGGTGCACCTCAGTCCCGGGTACGCCCACAATTTTGCCTGGGTATGTCCATAATTTGTGCATAAAGGTAGTTGGCGGTATAACCGCAATGTGGCAGTAGCAACCTGTGTCCACCTCAGTACTGGGCATGCAAATAATTTCCACGAGGCCGTTTTCCAGGGGTATAGATGCAAGTTGGCGCTGAGACTGGGTATACAGCGGGTATACCCATCTTTAAGTGTTGTACAGGACCTGTCGTGCAACCTCGACTTCCGCGAGATCGCCGCGCGTTGGAAGACAGTTATCACATTTTCGAGAGTGCTTTTTTTTTTTTTTTGGAAAAAAATTGCTTATTTTTCGTCACTTTGTTCACATCGTTTTGTGCTTCAATGAAAAAAGGGGGAAGGAGGGGGGGGGAGGCGAAGAGCTGAGCATCGTTCATGCTACAATGGAAAAA